CATCTTCTGAACCACGATTTCCAACAGTCTTGAGTTCAAAAGACACACTACTCCCCCACTCTGCCTCTCCTCGCTGCCTCTCCTGTCCACACCCCCATTCTGCCTTTCCTCCCTGCTCCCCCACTCTGCCTCTCCTGTCCACCACTCCATCTCTTCCTTCTTGGTGGGGTAGGTATCTCTTTCTGCTCACTTCTCTCTTATTTTTTGTATTATGAAAGTGTCATGAACCACACATAAGGGAAACTCCTCTACATTGGATTGTGCTGAGATTAAGGATGGATCAGACAAGATTTCCATCCATTGTACATAAAGGGACAACAGATCCCAGAGCAACAATTCCAAGCTGCAAAGCCCACCCTTTATCTTACATCTGATGGCTTTTCACTATGTTAGGCATCATCAGTACCAAATTTACCCTGAACAATCATAGGTCAGTCAAATTGACACCGATTTTGGGAGGACACAGTTCAATCCCTGACTGCCCAGGCTTCATGTGTAAAAACTAGAACAGAGAGTTAAAGCTGACGGGTTCTGTGAAAGGGAAGACTCATGCTGAGTCTGGAGTCAATGGAAGCTGGGTACAGTGGTCAGGAAAAGCCGGGGAGGGAGCAGGGAGGAAACAGCCTTGGGTTCCGTGCTCTTCTCAGAGATGATGGATTCTCAGTCCGGTCTGACCATGCTCTCGGGGATCTTGCCGCACATAGGTGGCGCCTGCATCTGCTCAGATGCTTCTAGAAAGGGGGACTTCTTTTCACCTGAGATAGCCCTCTACAGGCTCTTCTCTCATGGGAAACTACCTGTTGCAGTTCACCCTTGCTTTCTAATTTAGGGAAATACAGAATCTTCTGCCTAAAACCCTTCAGATGTAGGAAGACTCCCATCCTGCCTGCTTCCACTTCATCCATGTGTTAACTATCTCAGCTGCTTTAGCTTTTGTTGTTGTTGATTGCCTTTTAGTCGAGCATGACTCATAGCAACCCTGTGAAGCCCTTCTACAAGTATCGACATTTATCAGAGTTCATAGTGTTTCCGGAGGCATGTTATTTAGAAAGTGGATGCCACTCTCAGAGATTCATTAAACCTTTGTCTAACCTAGACCCTTCTGGTGACACCAACATTTAAACATTCAACCACTAGCTGAAAGGTTGGGAGTTCAAACCCCCCCAGAGACATCTTGGAAGATAGGTCTAGTGGTGTGCTGTGGAAAGGTCACATTGGAAGCCCTAGGAGGCAGCTGCACTGGACCCGCATGGGGTCACCATAAGATAGGGCCACCTCATCAGCAACCACTCACACAGGTGCAGCAGCAAAATTTAGGTGGTGTTCCTCATAAACTGTGGTCTGACTAATGGAAAATGCAGCCGTGCTGTTACCCTCTGTATTGGAACGGCCCCCGTCATTACTAATCCTCACGTTGTGTTCACTTCCCGTGGAAGCCACGTGGACCTGCTCACACTCATGTGCTCGCGTCTTTCCAGTAAGCTGCTCATCCAGTCTCCCCCAGCTGAGGCTTGTGGCTGCTGGTTTTCTCCAGTGGAGCTGTGTTCAGCCCTAGTAACTGTCACCTTACACTTACGGCCGCAGCTCAAGCTCACCCTGGTCCCTAGTTCTCTGACCTGATGTTTGCAGTATTCCTTTTAGATGAGTTCTTCATAAAGCATTGATAAATATTGCTGATCAAGTCATTGATTGTATTGTTTCTGTAAAATCTAGTATTAATTCTCGTGTGCTGAAGTTTATCCCTCGAGATGCGACCTCCAAGTTTGTTGTGATCATTAATCCGCAGTCTCTGTTGTGGCGTTCAGCAATTCATAAACTAGACTCTTTGTAGACACCATTGTCTCACTGGGGCTGAGCTGTCAGCTCTTTGCTGAGCTCTACACCTTGAAAGAATACCACTTTTAAAAAATTCTGCCTTTTAAAACAATGATATAAAAAAAGAAGAAAGAACCGTATTGTAAGGCACCATCAAAATCATGTCTGTGAAGAAAATGGCTAACAAAGCTATGTGTCCATTCCATGAGTGACAATGACTACAACATATTAAATAACATCCCAGTTGGCACCAAATAAATACAGGGTCACTCTGACTGAAAGGTAAAGAAGTTATAACCTGAAGCAGAGTCAAGCAGATGTAGAGAAAGCAGCACAGACTGGAATTCTTACTCTGTGGGCCCATAGACATTTGTTTTTACTGATAATAAAAGCAGTAAATCAGAAAGACTTTGAACCAACAGTAAGAGGTGGAAGAGACTATGACGTGAGTAATGTTATAATACCTGCATCCTCTTGCCAGTCTGATTACTAACGGGTCTGTTAATAGCTACCTTTCCCCCTCACAATTGTTATGCTCTCTAGACGAAAGAAGGGAGTTTCTCTTGTCATGTATGCACGATAGAAAACACGCACTATGGAAAGTAAAGTCTCTTTTGTAACTCTTGGATGGTTAAGCTCTTGGAAAATATATACAGGCTCAGCACTCTGGATGTGTCATTCTTCGTGGTGTGAACCAGCCATGAGTGGGAAGTCTGAGAGGTTGTTTACCGTGCTTGTTGTTCCTATTTAATTACATCCAGATCCAGCCATCAGTTCACATCTCGAGTTCTAATTGCCTTGGAGAGTTCTGTGCCCAGAACAATAGCCCGAGCGACTCTTCAGAACAGAAGTCGTAAATACAGGTTCTTCGTAATCTTGATGAATTAAAACCAAAGGAAGGGAGACAGTTTTGTTTTGCAGAGAGCCATCTGCTTGTTTGTGTACAGTGTTTGTATTCAAATTTAAGGAAATTAATTAAGTCAAAGCATCAGAATTCACATCATAGAACACAGGAGTACGGAACAAACCTATAATTTGAGAAAATCAAGTAGCTAATGAGGTTTTGAACCACTTTAGTTTAATCTTCTGGAGTCCCAAGGAGACCTCTCTGGTGTGTGTCCAGGGCCTGACTTGCTTTGCATTGATTCTTACATTGATTCACGATGCAGAACATGTGTTAAGTTCACGAATCAGCACTGTTGGCGCTGCAGCTGGACCAGCAAAGCCCTGAGTGTTCAGAACCCCTCTAGTCCTTGTTCACAGGCAGCAGAGTTCAGCAATACTAAAACTCTGTCCCAGGTCCCTACGTGTACATGAAGGGATCAGCGTCTGGTTGTTTTAGGAGACAAATGCCAGTGAGACGTTTCTAAGGGACACTATCTGGACATTTGGCACTGCACTCGGAAGTTTGATGTGTGAGCTTAGAGTTACACTAAATAAAATGCTTGCTACTTGCGTCCTCTCTAAGGCAATAACTTTATTACTCTTGTAGTGGGACTTCCTGGAACTACCCGTATCCCAAGGCTGTGTTTCTCTTTCTGGGACTTCATTCTGCACTGAACTACTGTTTGCTGGCGACACATAATAGTGAAAATACTTATATTATGCCCCTGGATTTGTTTTACAAATAATGTGTGTGTGGATGAGCTGTACTGATTATCTTATTGTTGTTGTTTTTGTTAGGTTCCAGCAAATCAAGTATGACTCATAGCAACACTATAAACAACAGATCCTAATCTATTCTGTGCCATCTTCACGCTTCTTGACACATTACAGCCCATTGCAGCAGTCACTGTCAATCCACATGGTCAAGGTCTTTCTCTTCTTTGCTGACCCTCCACCCTTCCCAACATCATGTCCTTCTCCAAGGAATAGCCCCTCCTAGCAACAAGCCCAAAGTATGTGAGGTTAAGCCTTACCATCTTTGCCTCCAAGGAGCACTCTGGCTTCACCCTCTCCAAGACTATTTTTAGTGCTCCTATAACATAATTGTCACAAGTGAGTGGTCTTGTAAGGAGAAATTAATTTTATCATAGTTTTATATAATTTTATCATCAAGTCAGAAACAACCTATAACTGACCTTGCAATGGGTTTTCAGAGGCAGTAAATCGAACAGGAGGAGAGCGTCCCTCTTTCTGCTTTGGAGCCTCTCGTGACTTTGGGTTGGCAGTGCAATTCCATACCCACTAGGCCACTAGAAGTCCCTTGTTAATGGTCGTTGTAGGAATTATCAACTATCTTACTAATCAAGCCCATCTAAGTGAAAAACATAATGTAAAGGATGATTTTTTTAAGTCATAGCCCTTATTCTAAAGAAGAATATATTTATATTTATATTTATATTTATATTTATATTTATATTTATATTTATATTTATATTATCTTATTTCTATTTCTGGTTATTTAATTTCATCATTGATATTCTTTCTTTACAGTATTATTTAAAATTATATATTGACATTTGCTAAAATGCCTAATAGCTTCAGAATGGCTAAAACTAGAACCTTAACTTTATGAAGTTTGTAAAGGATTTGTTAACTGTAAATCTGCTATGACTCATACTTGACGGCACCTAACACCACCACCACCACCACGGTGTGTAGAGGGGGAGACCACACAGTGTGTATATCTAGTAAGTTTTCATCAGTGTGAAAGAAGAGAACTGAAAAATATCTCTCAAGCATCAAAAAGTTTGGGAAAATATTAAACCAAAACGAACATAGAGTTTCTGTTAGAGAGGTTTTTGATTGTAATTTGCTTGTTTTAGTTTTCTGAATTTTTTAAATGTCCTCTAATGAAAGCAACAAATTCATATGAACATGGGGGGGGGTGCGCGTGTGTGTGTGCGCACCCACTCAGCTGAAATGCTGCTTTCTAGAGAGAGCTGAGAATGTGATAGGAGGAGGCACCTTCATTGTAGATGGGCTGAGAGATCTCTATCTGAGAGCCTCTGAGACTGGCCAGTGGAGTTCTGTTGCTCTGAAAGGGTCACATAACAAGTGTTTCCATCTTTTCATATTAAAAATGACAGCCTGGCCTGAGTGTGTTCCTCAGAGGGCAAAGGTTTAGTGGTCACTGCGTCAGGAAGATGAACACTGCCTCCAGCTCTGCGATTCTGCTTTCATTTCCACAGAAGCTCATGGCTTCCTTCTTTCTGTTGTTCTGTTGTATGTTTGCTTTCCAGATCCAACTAGGGTAATGGTACCCCCTTCCAGTATGGATGTCACTGTTGGAGAGAGTATTGTTCTTCCCTGCCAGGTGACACATGATAACTCACTGGACATCGTGTTCACCTGGACATTTAATGGACATCTGATAGACTTCGACAAAGATGGTGACCATTTTGAAAGAGTTGGAGGGGTAAGTACCAATATCATAGAAACCACAGGAAACACAAAATGCAGCTGGACTTTTTGAAACACATAACTTGTTTAATTTGAAAAGAAATCTAATATTTTATCATTTGTTCGAGCACCTTATTTCAAGGAACTCTCTGGTGATTCCCACTCTTTTTCCTATGGTAAATGTACTCATTACGAAGCAATAGCCTCTGGGTGGTGACATTTTTAAGCAGTGGACTGCTAACAGAAGACACACGGTGATACTTTGGATCAAAGACCTGGAGATGTGCTTCAGAAAGGCCTTGGCCTTGAAAGCGCTGAGGGGCTGTTCTACCATGTATGCATGGGGTGCCTGTGAGTGGGAAGCAGCTGTTGTTAGGTGCCATCAAGCCAGCTGCAACGCATGAGCATGGTATGAACAACACAGCTAAAATTTGCCCTGTTCTGCCCACCTTCTTGATACGTAATACCCTGCCATGTGTGAGTTACAATCGCTGTGCCCGTCCATCTCATTGAGGGCCCTTTCTCTTTTACTGACCCTCGCCTTTCCCCAGCACGGTGTTCTTTTCCAAAGACTGGCCTTTCCTGGCATATTGCCCAAAGTATATGAGAAAAAGTCTTACTATCCTTGCCTCCAAAGAGCATCCTGGTTGCACTTCGCCAAGATTCGTTTGTTCTTTCTGGCAGTCCCTGGGGTCCTTGGGGTCTTCGCCAGCACCGTCCTGAGGAATTGACTAGACGGTAGCCAGAAACAATGGAGACTTGAAATGAGTAGTCACTCTGGGCAGACCTTCTCTGTCAGCCTCACAAATACCCTGCAGGTTAACTGTTCAGCCCACTAGGAAAATGAGGACATGGAGGGGCAGACAGATCACACCTCCTCATAGCTGTCCTTCCACAGACCATAGAAGCTGAGTAAGAAAACAACTTTGAGAATGTTTCTCCTATGTTAGTAGGCTGCTGTTTAAACTCACTTTCTGGTCCTTCTGTCAAGTGCATTTCAACTCGCGGTGACCCTGGGGAGCAGAGCAGAACTTCCAAGGCGGGACGAGCACCTGGTGCTCAGCCGGCCTTTCAGTCGGCCACCGAGTGCTAACCACTGCCTTTCTCGTGGAGGGACCCAACCTCAAAGCAGGAGACCATAAAAAGGGGCTTTCCTTTTAAAAACTCCCCCAACCCGCACATTGCCATTTGCTGTCTCATTTTGTCCCCCCTATGTTAAAATAGATGGCCTTAAGGTTACAAAGTCATCTGTATTTATAACTCCCCACCATTGAGTCTCCTTTGACTAATGACAGTCCACGTGCGTCAGAGAAGAGCTGAGCTCCACTGGGTTTTCAGTGGCTGGTTTTTCAGAAGTCGAGCTCCAGCCTTTGCTTCTAAGGAAACTACGTAGCCTCAGGCTCCAGCATGACGGTGAGCAGGAGAGACTGTTAGCCGTCGCAGCACCAGGGACTCTCCCAGGTTGCTATGCTAGCAGCGTGGTTTCGCTCAGCTCTGATGGCGTGTTGTGCTGCTAACCAAGGAACATGTGGCTGGCTCTTCACCCCGTTCGAGGGCTGCAGGCTGGAAAGCAGCGTGGTGACAGTGGGGTCGGTTTTTCCTCTTTTATTTTTTGTTTTTTTTTGTTGTTGTTGTTATATCACTATGCAATCACTTGTTACGCATCAGAGAGTTGGACAATGACCAAGGAGGATAGAAGGAGAATTGATGCCTTTGAGCTATGGTGCTGGAGAAGAGTATTGAGAGTATCATGGACTGCTAGGAAAACAAACAGATTCATCCTGGAAAGGGTTAAACCGGTTGGCTCCTTGGTGGCAAGAATTCTGAGGCTCCGTCTAACATACTTTGGACCTGTTGTAAGGAGGGACCGGTCCCTGGAGAGGGACATCATGCTTGGGAGGGTGGAGGGACAGCACAGGAGGAGAAGGCCCTCTATGAGGTGGATTGATTCAGTGACTGGGTTAATCGGGATGGGAGTGTCAGAGACAGTGCGATTGGCACAGGACAGAGCAGAGTTTAGGACTGTTATACAAAGGGTCACTATGAGTCGCAAGCAACTCGATGGCACACAACAACAGCAACAACATATTCACATTCATCTTTCTCAAGCTGCTGGTGGATTTAAACCACCAGAGACATGCAGACTGTGCCAGCAGCTAGTTCCACTAGTTACATGATTCCTACCTTTCTCAGAAGGCTCTAAAATGAATCATGGAACATTGAAAATTATTTCTAATTCGTCCAAGGATGGTATTCAACTCATACCATTTTGAATGCATAGGAAATAAGTTATAGCATTCCATCAGTGGATAGCTATATCAGTGAGTAGCCCCAGCCAGTATGGATTCTCTTTTGGAACCCTAGTTGGAAATAAACACAAAACTCAATTTGAGGAAGGATTGATAAAATTGCCAATGTTAACCATTTTGGTCCTTTTTTTATATTATTTGACCTAATAACTTTGACTAAATAAGAAAAATACCAGCTACTTTACAAGGATATAGAGGATATGAAATACTTTCACATCTAGAGAAGACCATAGCCTGCTACTGAAGAAATGGCTGGTAGACTAGTGGTCGTTTTAAGTAAAGGAGGGATGACGTTGGATCTGGAGCGTAGGGAAACTGCAGGACTTGGCAGCATTTCTGCTGATTGAGGGACATCTCAGCAGCAGGAAAATTTAAATTGAGAATACCTTAATAAATAAGACAAAAACCCCACCCTACTTGCAAAGGGGAAAAAAATAAATTAGACCAAAGAAGTGTTTGCATACTAAGACTAATGACTTGTATAGGAGAGATATTAAAACTGTTCTCTCCCAGAATGACATGGACATGGAAAGGCCTAGAGTGCTCAGTCAGGAATGGAGCAGACACGGAAGGAAAATTAAGCTGCTACTGTTTTCTTCACCTTGATAGAAATATAAAGATGGCTCAATCACAAATTGTGTCTGTATGACATCGAAGAAAAAACGTTCTTGTTATCTCCTTTCTGTGAAACTCAATCCTAACTAAAAGTTTTAAGGTAAAAGTGACACAGTTAAGAAAAAAATCTCAATATGCTGCTTGATTTCAGTCTCACCAAGACTGAAGTCCCCTAAAGCCAGTCCTCAGTCGATGGACTAGCACAGCAGCTGCAGTGATAGGTCACGCACAGCGGAGCTCAGGAGCAGGGTGGAGAGTGGGCAGTGTTTTGTTCTGTTGTGCACAGTCTGTAAGACGAGAAGCTGACTCCACAGCACCTAAAAACATCCCTGACCCATCAGCAGAAATGGGCAAACAAGCACTATTCCATTTTACTGAGCAGTTGTAAATAATGGAATCCAGGTGAGCAACCAGATTACAACTAAAGGAGCTTTCAAGTAGAAAATACACAACTTTTCCTGATTCAATTTATTATCTCTACCTTGGTTTACAAAACATTGGCTCATGTTCATCGTCCTGCCAGCTTCCATCTTCGCTGTGATGCTCATAGCTTACAACAGTCAGAATACAGCCTCCATGTACAGGTCAATAAACTAGGACCCAGAGAAGCTAGGAGAGTTAGAAAGCCTTCCCGCAGGAACCAGGCCCAGAACCTTGAGCAGCAAATCGTTGGCCTTGCCTCTAGTCCTGTTTACATGAATGGAAGGTTCCATTTTTCTCCTCTTGTCCTTTACAAATTTAGGTATAGCGTACTGAAACAAAGAAGGACGTTAAGAATATGTTACTCTCAAAAGGGAAATGTGGTCCTTCTGGGTGATCATGTAAGTATGTGAAGTAGAACCAGACTCTATGGGTTCCAATCCTGGCCCTGCCATTTAGTAGTACAGTAACTTTAGGTGACTCAGTCTTCGTCATTAAAGTTCCTCTTCATAAAATAAGGTACCTGTTTCCTAAGTACTCGTAGTGAGTTAGTATAACTCAAGGTCTTGGAAGGTGCCTGCCGTACATGAGATCCATTGACCATGAGCAACTATATCATTGTTTGAGAAAAGGACAATCGAAGACTAACTTCCTGGTTAGTAGTGCAGAGTGAGGAAGCTGCAAGGGTTGCAATATCCGTTACGAAGCCTGATCACCAGTTAGAAGTTTACAAGACAGTACCACCTCCTAAACCCTGCCTCTAGGGTGTTCTCTCACCCAATGTATGTTCTCTAAACCCCAGTGTCTGGCCGCGTTCTTCAGTTGTCTGGCTGCTTTTCTAGAAGCCAGTGGAGACATCTCATATCTAGAATACTGTGCTGGTGAACAGGGTAGAGAGAGTCCTGAGCCACGTCCACATCCAGACAGGAATGGAGTTAGTCCTGCCCACCTGCTAATCAAACATGCATTTGGAAAACAAATTAGCAATGTTCCACACTCAATGATGCAGATCTCTTTGGGGCATCCGGCCCTTCTACTCCTTTAATTGGAACCTGGAGGCCAGCAGCGTTTTGCATCTAAGACACAGTTGCACAGTACAGTGTGGAGATCTCCATAGGTGGGTGCCTTCCCCTCCCCAAAAGCATCCAGAGCAGTGGCACCCCAGTGGGGACAGGGAGGGGATGCTGAGCGCGTCTGAGGAACCACACAGAATGAGATGCAGAGCCGCCTCCGTGACACCAGGTTAAGTGCTTCCGACAGGAGTGGCAGATGCTCCAGAAGCCCGACACCTGAGGTCTTGTCAGAGGCCTGTTCGGAAATTCTCTCCAGGCCTGCCTCCCAGGCAGGCTTACGTATTTTTAATAGGCCATGGCTTGCACCACTAATGTTCTCATCAACCAGCATAAAAGAAATCCATTTGTCACAGTGTCCTTCGTGAGATAATGATATTTAGAGCTTATTAAAAAGTAACTGTAGCCCCTTTCCCTTCCTTTATCAGCAGGATTCAGCTGGTGACTTGATGATTCGAAACATCCAGCTAAAGCATGCTGGGAAATATGTGTGCCTGGTCCAGACAAGTGTGGACGAGCTCACGGCTGCTGCAGACCTGATTGTGAGAGGTACTCGGCCTTTTGTTGTTTGTTGAGTCATTTTTGTCCTTCAAGTATGTTTTGTAGTATCTCCTCTAGCCCAGATTTCCAAAACCCTCAGGGATTTAGAATCGTATGGAGAGGCTGGGTGGAAGCTGGACACTATATACTGTGGCGAACACTTTTCCGAAGTTTTATCTGCATCAGTTCCTCACAGGATGCTATCTGAAACCATATTGAACAGGTTCCGCTTCTCCGCGAAAGCTCTCGTCACTGCTGTTGGAGTTCAGATGACCTTCTAGAATAACTTTAACAGAAACAAATGGCTTTTAAAAGGGTCACACTGTGGCTTTCATGTTTCGTTTTAGCTAAACTAAATTAGCACTTTTGGCCAATATTGTATCTGCAGCTTAAGTAATATCACCACTAGAGTTAGAGTGAATAATTCTGCCTGGTTCCTAAAATAGGGCTTTGAGAGAGACGCCTGTGAACTTCCTGGGTGTAGGGGGTGAATTGGGAGGTATTATAAACACGAGCATTTGTAGAGTATCCTTTGTACCAGCACCTGGGCCTAACTGGATACAACCAGGTATAAACACCTGGCTGAGCCTCCCCAAATGAATCCTAGGTCTAAATGGATGAAATACCTCTTTATCCCACCAGAGTGACCATGATCAAAAAGAAAAAGAATCACAACAATAACAGATACTGGCAAAGATGTAGAGAAATTAGAACCTTCTTCCAGCACAAGCAGGGATGTAAATGGTACAAGGATTGTGTAGAACAGGTTGATAGTTTTTCAAAAAACTGTGGAATCACCCTGTAACCTAACACTTCAACTCTAAGGAATATAAGCCAAAAGACTGGAAGGAAGAAATACAAACAGACACCTATACACCAATGTTTATTGCAGTACCATTTATGATAATTGAAAGGTGGTTGTAGCAACATAAATATCTGTCGGGAGATGGCTGGATTATCCTCATGTGACACACACATATAAATAGAATTTGATTGTCCTGGTTCACACCACTACATCGATGAGCCTTGCAAACATGCTGAATGAAGTACACCCATCACTAAAGGACAAACACCATGTGTCTTCACTTATGAGAAACAGGAGGTGAATATAAGGGAGGAATGTCATTGATGGCATTCTAATTATTTAGAAAAGGGTAGAAATAATGGCTATAAAACAAATGCTATCAAATTGTATGAGTATAAATTACTGAATGAGCTGATGTTTTGTGTTGTTATTTGTTGTTATGTGTCGTTGACACTGCTGAACTCTGTAAGATAGGCACTGGTATTTTGGTTGATCATCTTGTGAAATGTTTTCTTGGTTTTTTATTTAAGCCTCTTGTGTAGTGTCAGCAAAGCTTCCTGGAGGGCCCTGGGGTCTGCGGCCCTCGGGCCTCTTGTTGTTATTATATTTTAAAGGAGCATTCTTCTCAGTTGTACAGCACTCTTCTGTCCGTTTGCTCTACTGAGGTGATCTGGGGTTGCTGTGATGCTGGACCTTGTGCCGTTGGGGTGTCAAATGCCATAACAGTTGCCATGGTGGACAGTGTTTGGTGGCACTCTCACTTTAAGACTGATGTGAAGCAGGAGTGGCATCCACTTCTTAAACCACATGCCCCTGGAAACTCTATGAACTTGGAGAAATGATGATAGTCATGGAAAGTTTCAGGTCTTTTGTTCATAGGTTCACTATGAGTCATGCTCGACCCGACAGCAATCAACAACAACATGTGCCACTGAGTCACTTGCACCTCCTGGTGACACTGTGTACAACAGCCCTGAGCCCTGCAACCCTCCTCTGTCTTGAGCCAACTTCCTTCCCAACACAAAGGCTCAACGCCACTGCCATGTTTGCAAGTCTAACCTAAATATGCTCTGTTGTACATAGGCTTTGTGAAGGCCTGTTATTTTGGAAGTGGATGGCCATTCTTTCTCCCTAATCTATCTTAACCACAATGAGGTGGGGGGAAGAGAAAACTGTTTTTAAGTAGAAATTAAATTTGTTGTGAGTCTATGTCATATTGCAATAAGATCCATTCTCAGGGGTTTTCCAAAGTCCCCAGTGAGGCCAGGCACAAACTGTCCCCTGCTTACTGTCCTTCCTCTGAATTCAGAGCTTGGAGGTATTGCCTTTGACTAAGTGGTTAGTCCTAGGCCAGACCTTGGAGTGCATAGAACTAAAAATCCAGGATCTCAGAATTCAAAGTGCACAAAGAACAAGGTATTATTTATTGGAAACAGGAAAACTATTGCCATATCCCCCAAGCATACAGAGAATAACGTATGGGTGTGGGGTGGGTCACAACCTCAGCTAATTGTCAAGATGAGTCATGAAAATAACTTTTACATCTTATCTGCTTTGCTTCTCCCATAAATTACCTCCAAACCTCTCCCAGAGATGCTGTGCATAAGGGCAGCGTAGGAGAGAGAACCTCCGACCTGGGCAGAATCGCCCTCAGAACGAGTTAAGGAAGCATGTATAAACACGTTCCATTGAAATCGAAACCAGAGCACCTCACTTCTCCCCCTGGGAACAAAAGAATTCTGTGGCTGAGAATTTATCCTCTATTTAATTAGGATAATGTTCAGATCAGCAGTTTAAACACCAATAAATTAGACTAATAAATATTTAAATCAGTAATACTTGAAGTTCTTAAATGATATTGTATACTTCATTTCACAGGAAATAACATTAAGTACCAAGAAGAATTTGTGAGCGTAGTCTAAAAGAAAATCTAGCCTAATCAGCTAATAAGGCCAGTAAATTACTGTGCCATTTAAAGCCATAATCTTGCATTTGTATCTCGCCTAGCTCGACCCTTCTCACTTGTCCACGTCCCACAGCTGGAGTACCTCACCGCCCCGGGAGTGTCGCATATTTGAAACTGCTCTTGTTTTAATTATTTGCTGGGCCACCACTGCTTCTCTGATGGCTGCCATATTTAATCTCTAGGTTTACAGATTAAATTAATGGCAGGTAGAAAGCCAAGTCAGATGAACCCCCTTCTGTTAGCAGAGCCTGGGGTGTCAAATCTACACCCACCCACACTGCCTGTGAGAAAAGCGCTGTTGTCCCTGACCCTGTGATCATGAGACTCTGTGCATAAACACTTGCACACTGTCGTTTTGAAAGAGGGGCCAAGTTCCCCAAAATGAAGTTGGTAAACATTCTGTGAGGTTATGTTTTCACACTGGTGGATGAAAGGAACAGGAAGGCAGCAAAGCCAGCCAAGCCCAGGGCTCAGCTCCCCAGATCCTTCGCCTCCCACTTCCCCCACTGCCGCGTTGGGCCCGCTGCCTCCTCAGCCATTTCATTCTTTGGGGAATTCAGAGAGGAACAAGCTTCTACTTGTAGCACTTCAGTTTTAAAGGTCATCAAAGAAGCATCCGTAAAGAGAAAGGACACTGGAGAGAGAGGCAAAGTAGGCGAGATTGTCTTGTGGACTTTATCTGGTTAACAAGTGTCCTTGGGACCAAACTCTGCCTCAGCTCTATCTGTGTGCATCTGACTGACACGCTTAAATGTCACTGCGGAAAATTAATCCATTTCTGCCTACAGATTGCCAGACATTTCATTCCAGAGTGGGCGGGAGAAGGTAAATTTAGTCTCACCTGTGGGTCCATTAAATGATTTTCTAAAAAGGAAAGACATGCGTAGAGCATCACATCAAGGGTGCAGGAGTGAATCCCAGAGAAGGTCTCCTCCGGTAACTTGCCAGTACTTTTCCCCACCCTGTGCCCTGTGGAGGTCTCGCCCCACCTGTGACATGTGCCCATAATGTTTGGGCAGAACATTTGGTGGCTGTGCTGAGAGCTAGCAGACCCCCCTGGCAACAAGTCCTGGTGCCTGGTTATAACAGGCCGAGGTTAGTCACCATGGCCCCCCACTGCCACCTTCTCTCCTGACACTGTCGGTGGCAGGTTTTTAGAAATGCGCTTAACTGTCTGGAGAGAGATTTTTATGTTTGAGACCGCCTGGTTTGAGTCTTTGCTCTGGTTGTATTAATCTTTGACTCCAGTGGCTTTCTGTTCCTTTATGATTTCCAGGCTTCCTTTAAATCTGGTTCCTCCCCTTTCAGTGTCTTAAGGACAAAACCAGTGAGCACCAAGAATATAAGTAGGAAAACAGCTCTGACTCACGGAGGTGGTAAATGAGGCTCTCTGATGCCAGACAGGTTTTTTGTCTGAGATGTTTTTTGTTTGTTTTAATTTTATACTGATTTATTTACAAAGTTTTAATACATTTAAAAAAATTCTACTAGTTTATTTACAAAATTCGAATACATTGTTTTCAAGAACAAATTCTTTGAAATTCCCTCACACCTCCCCCCTCCCATCAAATTGTACAATCTCATGATTAAACCTCCCCCTCCCCCTGCACATCACATCCCTCTGCTTCCAGCCTCTCCCACCCCTCTTGGATCCTTATACTCATTCTACAATAATGGTTTCATATGATGTTTATCTTTGTGGGATTGAGTTAGTTCACTCAGCATAATGCTCTCCAGTCCCTCCCAAGTTAGGTAATAATTTACAAAATCATTGCTCCTGCGTGCTGCGTAGTATTCCATTGTGCGAATGTACCACAATTTCTCAATCCATTTGTTTGTGTTTGGCCATTTGGGCTGTGAAGTGACTTTGCAGAAGCAAGACCAGCCGTTTGCACAGCAGCGCCTCCTGTCCTTGCGTGTGGCACTGGACAGAGGGAGGTGCCCATAATCTCAGTGCAGAGGGGCTGTGCAGAGCCCTCCTGAGGTCCTGGAGCTACTCCTGGCTGAGTCCACGCCCATGGAGTAGAAATTCCATCCCTCTCCATGGGGAACTGCAGTCATCACAAATTCAGCATCAGTGTCTATCTGCTTTCACTACCATGTCCTGACCCAGCGAGGCATCGATGGTTCAGGGTAGAATCTTGACCTTCTGTGCAGGAGACAAAGGATTGGTTCCCAGCCAGAGCACACTGTGTGGGGCTCGGGTGCTGAAGGCGTTTTAGCAGAGCTTCCACGCCGAGATGATCCAGGAAGAAAATCCTGGGTATCTACTAAATCAGCAGTCTTTTGTTTTGCTGCTCACCTATTCCCAGGAGTCAGGAGCCATCGTGGGGATGGCTAACTCCAAGGTCCCTGGTAACATCATAAGCACCAGTGGTCATCCATCCCTGCAGCTCATGAAGCTGCTTCTTATGGGTCTCGTGGCTGTGACCTTCCAGAAGCAAAGCACCAGAGCCTTCCATCCAAGACACCTGTGAAGAGGTTTGAACTGCCAACCTTTTGGTTAGGCACCCAGTGCTTAAACATCTATATAACCCAGATACTTCTTGATCCACAATGTTGTTGCTGCTAAATTGATTACAACTCCTAGTGACCCTAGAAGATAAAGCGGAACTGCCCAGAGTGTCCCCAAGGCAATGGAATCATCCTGGAAACAGACAGCCACTGCGTTCTTGTGTGGGCTGACTGGTGGATTCAAACTTCTGACCTTGTGCTTAGCAGCAGAGACCTTCATCATTAAGCCACCAGGGCCCCTCTTGATCCATGATGCTGGTGCACAGGACTGAGTTGATTGCAGCTCATAGCAAGCAACCTTGTATGCAGCGGAAGGGAACAGTGGCCGGTCCTATGCCGTCCACACAGCCCCTTGAGTTCAATGTTGGACCCACTGTGTCCACCATGGAGTCAGAGCACCACCAGATGGCAAGGGAAAGAGTGGATTTGGGTTCTCATGGCACCTCTTACATTCTCTTAGCCTGTAGAGTAAATATCATATTGACCTTGGTACTTGAGGAAGGTCATGTACCGTTCACCTCTGCCATCATCAGTGAGAGGATTTATCGAGTGAGTGGCCATGTGTGCCTAGGCCGGTGCCTCCCAACGCTGGCTGGCACATCAGCTTCACACTGCTCTTATTCTGAAGGTCTTCCTCTTTCCTAGGTCCCCCGGGTCCCCCAGAGGCTGTGACCATTGATGAGATCACAGACACAACAGCTCAGCTCTCCTGGCGCCCGGGGCCCGACAACCACAGCCCCATCACCATGTACGTCATTCAGGCCAGGACTCCGTTCTCCGTGGGCTGGCAGGCAGTCAGCACAGGTACATCTTGTGCGTCAGGTGCTGGGGTCACATCGGAGGCTTTGGGATCCACAGAAGGGAAAGAGCGTTGCAGCAGAAACCAAGGGACACCCAGATGCGACATGACAGCAGTGTCCCCTACACCCGCCACCTCACATCATGTGCTGAATGGTTTTCTACGTGTGGGTTTCAGTTTGTCCTCAGCATTCATATCTGAAATGGCAGATCTGTTGCACAAATTACTTTTTTTCCCTTAAAACATGCTAAAAAAATACATCCATTATAAAATTAAAAGGCATCCACTTCCAAAATGGCTTGCCTCCAGAACCTGTATGAACGCGGAGAAACAATGAAAGTTATACAAGTGTTCAGGTTTTTCGTTCATAGGGTCGCTGTGAATCATCTACGACTCGACGACACTTAACAACAACAATCTGTGTGATCCTAAAAACAGCATATGTGCCCCAGTGAAATGCTTGCGCCCTGGTGGCACGTGTGCTTAAGTACTTGTCTGTTAACCACCGTGTCTGTGGTGTGAGCCTCCCGGCCACTGTGCAGGAGAAAGCTGTGACATTCTGTTTCCAGGAAGATTTGAGCCTTGGAAACCTGGGGGGCAGTTCTAACAGTCTCTAGAGTCTGTACAGCTCTGCACTGTCACTGTTCCTGCTCTGTGCCGTCGAGTCGGAGCCGACCCATAGCCGATCGTCCCGCAGGTTTTCAGAGGGCTGTACACTGCATGGGAGGAGACTGCCTGTCCTTCTCCCACAGAGCAGCTGGCTTCAAGCTGCGAGCTCAGACTCGGAGTCAGCTTGGTGGTCACAGTCGGGGTGTTCTGCTTTTTCACTGATGTGCTTTAGGGAACAGTGGCCGAATCTTGGCAACAATGAAAGATTTTTGTAAGCTTTGTGCCCGTCTGTTAAGAAACTTGGCAGAATCCTGGTGACCTAGGGGTAAGAAGTTGCACTGCTTACCTAAAGGCAGATGGTTCAAATCCACCAGCAGTTCTGAGGGAAAAGATGGGTAGTCTCTCATTGGAGGGTCAGCTGGTTCTGACTTGAGGGCAATGAGTTTGAGTTTGATTTGCACATGGTTAGGGGTGTTTGAAGTTCCTAACTTGGTCTCTGCACTGGTTTTCTGGGAATGCTTTGAAATGTCCCCAACTTTTGATGTCTTGCAGTCCCTGAGCTCATCGATGGGAAGACCTTCACAGCCACCGTGGTGGGCCTGAACCCCTGGGTGGAATACGAGTTCCGCACAGTTGCAGCCAATGTGATTGGGATCGGGGAGCCCAGCAGACCCTCCGAGAAGCACAGGACCGAAGAGGCTCGTGAGTAGCCGGGCCACCGTCCATCCACCCGGCCACCGTCCATCCACCGGGCCACAGTTCCTTAGAGAGAAGCTTTGAATTCTTGAGCTCCCATGCACCCCATTAGCTCTCTTACTGCGGTGACTTTGGTGGTTGGCCCTTAGCCCACACACCCTCAGAGTCCCCGAGATTAGAGCTCACCGCTCACAGGGTCCCATTGCTCAAGGAGGGGTTGAACTTAGTCCTCCTACAAGCCAGCTTGCTCTTCATGGCTTCACTTGCCACCAAGGCCACCCTAACAGGATCATTTAAAAAATTACCCACACATCACATTGCAAACAACACCATCCCTCCTCACAGGAAGCTCACTCCTGCTGAGAGTCAGTGCCTCGGGCGGATGTGCTCACCTGGTGTCTGCAGCACAGGCACACGGGGTTCTCAGAAGGTAGTGTTCAGAACAGCCTGCCGATCCCTGCGAGGCCAGCCCCAAATTCAGTGTGGCCCTCTGTGCACGCAGCTCAGAGAGGGTGGAGGGAACTCAGGGGTCCGTCTGTGTCTCTTTTTCTCATGTGTCGTCTGGGCTAGTTTCTAACCATGGTCAGGCCTAGAATCCTAGTGAGGCCTGGGAGTGAAGGGGGGTCTCTCTGACTTTACTCTCAGGAAATCCCTTAATGATCGCTTCACCAGCCAAGAGGACATCCACACGGCAGCTGCACACCCACTGTAGACATTAGGGGACTCTCTCTGCTCCCCTTACCGACATAAGTAATGCCACAGCCCCTTCACTCCCTGATTTCTGTCACTCCTCTCGGCATTCCTGAGAAGGAACCAGCCGTAATTTCCCTTCTGTCACAGAGAAAACTGGACATCAAAGTAGAAAAGTAGGGTGAGCCAGGGGTCCCCTGTGGCCCCCACAACCCTCATCATCCAGCTCAGAGCTCACCTGCCTCCCTCAGGCCAGCAGGCCATCCTCCATCCCCTGAGCCCAGGACACTGCCCCTTCCGTCCACCCTGACTGCTGTCACTTGTCCTCGCCGCTCTCTTGATTGTTCTGCATGTACTCCTGGGCCCTGGCGTGGGCAGAGTTTGTATCGTTTTTCCTTTGTGTACCAGTGCGTGGTTAATAAATGCCTAAGTAGCCTTTACAACCAGCCCCCGGGTCCTTTCCTCCTCCCGCTGTGCTCGCAGCCTCTGGGGTTGGAGCTAAGGGACGGACATGCCTCATAGTCCACGCGTCCGGTCAGACGGGAAACAGCTAATTATGAGCCATTTCCTTGGCACATCTCTCTTGCTGCCACTGCTGTGGTGGGCCCTGCTCTGGTGGACACTCATGTGGTGGGCCCTACTGTGGTGGACCCTGCTGTGGTGGACACTCATGTGGTGGGCCCTGCTCTGGTGGACACTGATGTGGTGGGCCCTGCTGTGGTGGGCCCTGAGGACTGCCCCCTGGGTGTCTGCATCTGAGTGTTTGTTGAGAGGGCACAACCTCACCAGGCACCCTGCCGGCCCTCATTCTCCTGCTTTCCTGCCATAACCTGGTTTTGTCTCCTGCACAGTCCCCGAAGTCACCCCAGCCAACGTCAGCGGAGGTGGTGGCAGCAAGTCTGAACTGGTCATCACCTGGGAGGTAGGAGCCCAGGGAGAGGAGCGGGTGTTAGTGTGGGCGGGTTTGTCCCCTCAGTGGCCCCCAGTGGGGAGCATCCTCCTGTCCCCCAGCCCCTGCACCTGAGAACACACGTTCCCTCTCACCAGATAACAGCTGGTGGAAGCAGACGGGGCCTGCTGACCATGGTGGGCAGGTGTGAATCCATTCACCGTGAGTGAGGAGGGTGGGTATTCTCCTCTAGGGCAGTCAGCTACGGGTCGGTTCTGCTCAACAATACACGTCAACAGCGTGCAGGAAGCAGTGTTCAAAGGGAAGATGAAAGGGGTCAAAATGTGCTATAGATGGCCGGTGTGGGGAGCCAGCTCTCCGTGGATTGCCACTCGGTCAGTTGACTTGACACACCTGCCCACATCAGGGCAGCAGCCAGCAGTGACCCCACATCACTCGGCTGCCAGACTCCTCGGCTGTGATGGATTGTGGAAGCACCAGGAGGCGGGCCAGTCACCAACTCATTATAAACTGATTTTACGAGGAGGTGGGAGCTTGCAAGAGGGTGCTTGGTGGTTTTTGAAGGATTCTAAAGAGCGGCCACGGAAATCCAGTCCTTTCGTTTGCCCAAGGCCCTGGCAGTGATAGAATTCACCCAGCCTGTGGCTGTCGCTCCAGCTGGGAGAGGAAAGGTGATGTGTGACCATGGTGGGCGGTGGTGTCAGGGATCTGATTACTCTGCATCTGTATTCGATGGTGCCGGGGACAGCCAGAAGGGCCGGTTCCAGATCACAGGGCCAGTTGCCTTCATCTTTTCCACCTAGTTCCAGGCACAGTCAGCTCCATCGAGGCGCTGAGTTCTCTACTACAGATTTCTGTTGAGTTTGCCGACCCTGTCACTTCTCCAGTATTCCATGGCTATCTAACATAGAGAGAGAGTAAAGACCAAATACAAAACCTTTCGGCAAAACATTAAAAGAAGGTAGTTGGGAGGAAATGTGGACAAGGATGTTTGGCAGAGGAGGAAGAGAGGATGTTTTAGCCCCTGAATCCATGTACCATGATGTCTGAAGGCTGCTCCCTCTTCACCAGACGGTCCCTGAGGAGCTGCAGAACGGGGGAGGTTTTGGTTATGTGGTGGCCTTCCGGCCGTACGGGAAGAAGAGCTGGATGAAGACAGTGATGGCCTCGGCTGACGCCTCCAGATACGTGTTCCGGAACGAGAGTCTGGCCCCCTTCTCTCCCTTCGAGGTCAAGGTGGGGGTCTTCAACAACAAAGGAGAAGGGCTGTTCAGTCCCATCACGACTGTGTACTCCGCCGAGGAAGGTGTGTTCTCATCTCCTGGGAGGTGGGGTTTCTCCTGTTCTGAGATGCTGTTGGTTGTTGGATTACACAGTCAGACATGGGGCAGGAACTGGAGACCTAGCTCATTGGAGAATGGTAGACTAATGAAACATGGTTTGTTCACGATGTATACTAAGTTTATAAGCAAACCAATATAAAGTAAGAATGTTTAAAAATAACATGTGGTTTGTTATGCACTTCAAACCCATCAGATGGGAGAAAGATGGTCAGTCTCCTCCCATGTGATGGACAGCCTCTGAAGACCCAGTGGTGGGTCAGCAAGAAGTCAGTACTGCCTGAAAAGCTGTGAGTAGTAATACAAGTGTCCTGTCAGGGGAGACGCAACTTCACCACCCCTGCCCTCTAGTTACAGACGCAAATTGGTATCTGACAGAAATTCCCTTGTTAAGGATCAAAATTACAAGTACAGTATAAGATCTTTTAATCTATCTGTATTAGCATAGCTTTTTAAAGTATATTTACAATTTTATTACCTCCCTGTAAATGAATGTCACAATATAATTTGGGGGTTTTCCACTCTTATTTTCATATGCCCTATTGTGCTTCTCATTTATTCTGATTCTCTAAAAAAGCAGATTAAAGAAGGTACACGTTTGCCCTCACTGCCATCCATCCTGTCCTTGTGACAAAGGTTCTCCGGTGTCATGCCTGCCTCTGCTCTCCCAGAGCTTGGAATGGCCTCTCACGTGGCCACACCCTCACTGGAGTTCAGCTTTGTTGTCTAAAAGGCAACATTCAGAGCACGACTGTTAAAACATCTCCAGTATCCAGTATCCAACGTTGTCGTTAGTTAATGCCATCTAGTCGTAGACGACTCATAGCGACCCTATGAATGAACAGCCTGAGCACAGTATCCAAACCAAGATAATTTTCTTTTAAATTCTCAAGTTGAGTCAGTGGTGTGGAGCCAGCCATGACTTCTTCTCCCCAGATGAAGTCCATCCGTAGACCCAGCACCCTCTGCGCTCTGACCCCACCACCCAGCTCACCCTCAGCTCTGACTCTCCCACCCTTCAATCTCATCTGGAGGATTTGTCGTGACTCACGCAAGTTCTGTCCCTTGTCCAACGGTCACCTTGTCTCACTGTCCTCTGTTCTTAGTCACTTTGCAAAATCAGACAAATCCTTCAAACTTGAGGCTGGTAACCAAGACCTTCTCTGAGGTCTCAGGCCCTGGAACACATTTCTCTTTCCTAGAATATCTCCAACATCCATCAATTTTAATTGTCATTCTGTTGTGTTACAGATGTTTCATTTTCTTCACTAAAGCTTGTTTTTAAGAGCCATCTCTTTGTTTTCCACCCTTGAGTCGCAGCAGCTAACTGTGCATGATACATAAATCCTCAATAAATACAGAATAATTGATGCATAACTATCCTATATGCTATTAGGAGAAGCTAAGATCTTATTGGTCTTCATATTCAGCATTTCCTGGGGTCTGATGTATATTTTGGAAGGAGTAGATGAGTTGAGTGGGCACAGTACTGCGTGAACTGTTTATAAGTTTAATAAGCATGTATTAATTTTCATTGCATTATAAAAATGCACCTGTCAAATGCAAGATTTCATAGACATTGCTGTTAAAGACATAGCAAAGCCAAGCTGGTTTTGAGAATTAAACCAGCAAAAGAAACATTTTAACAAATAGTGTATAGTAGAAAACTGGCAACAATGACTAAAAGCTTGGTTTTTGCTGCTGTGGAAGCTGAGGAGAAAAGTAGAAATTATTTGTCTGAGAGTCTATGATATAGTTTATGATACAGATAGAAACGGCACCCAGCTCTGCTGAATCTTAGTCAAGTATTGACTCAAACAAACAAAACTATTGAGGTTGACTGTCTTTTCTCATCTCATTCTGCACCCAAGTGACTGGAACTTGACTATAACCTATGTTGTTGACTGTCTTCAAGTCGAGCACAACTTACAGGGACCCTATGAACAAAAGGCCTGAAGCCCCTTTACGACTATCCACATAACCTATGATGCCTGCTAATTAAGACAGCTCTACAGTAGATTTGCTAGCCATCAACACTTGGTGCTTAAATTTACGTAACTTTGAATCACTTTCCTCCCAGCTGAAAACTAAACCAGTTGCAATGGTTGGCTTCCACCTCAGGGCAGACTGCCCAGCCCCTCCCCCACTCACCCCACCCCAGACCCACCCCTCATCACCAGCCCCATCTCCCACCTCATCCTCCAGCACAGACTCACCCCATCTCCCACTCCACCCCCACCCTACCCCTCACCCCACCCCCACTTAGCCTGTCCCCCACCCCATCCTGGTGCAGGGACTGTCCGTGGCTGGTTTTTCAGAAGTAGTTCCAAAGGCTTATCTTCCAAGCTGCTTCCAGATGAACTTGAACCAACACCTTCTTTCTCAACATCCAAGAACATTAGCTGTTTGCACCATCCAGTGACTCTACACACAAAGACATTGATCAGGTCTCTTCATCATATCTTCTCCTCACTGTCTCGTGTTCTCTCTTGTGTTTGCTTGCTTGCTCTCTCTCTCTGTCTTTCTCTCTGTCTCTCTCTCTCTCCCCCTCCTCTCCTTCTCCCTCCCTCCGTCCCTCCCTCTTTCCCTCCCTCCCTCTTTCCCTCCCTCTTTCCTCCTCCTTCCTCTCTCTCTCCTCTCTCCTCTCTCTCTCTCTCACACACACGCACACACTCTCACTCACCCCCAAGCCGTCAGCTACTGTTGTTCTACAAAATGAGAATTTGCATCCTAGTCTTTGTGGGTCATTCTATAATCACAGGGGTTTTGCATGTTATGGTGCCACGATCTGGAAGCCCATTGTGAACCAGCTGATAAATAGAATAACAGCGTTTTCCATATTCACCCACAGAACCCACCAAACCACCGCCCAGCATCTTTGCCAGAAGCCTTTCGGCGACAGACATAGAGGTTTTCTGGGCGTCACCAGTGGAGAAGAACATAGGGCGGATACAGGGCTATGAGGTAGGCAACAGCTGAGAAGAGTCCCTGCTCCTCAGTAACACTTCCCAGGGCCAGTCTATCAGGGAGAAGACCCAAATTCCCACTTTGGGGTATTTGCTTTAGAGGCCTGACCTATATTATGGCTCATACAACACAACACAACAGCAGTGGCCTCGTCGGTTAAAATTTGTTCCTCTAAACCAAAGGTAGACGGTTCAAATCCACCAGCTGCCCCGTAGGAGAGACATGGGCAGTGTCCCCTCATGCAGTTTATAGTCTCTGACAACCCACTGGAGGGTCAGCAGTGAGTCGATTCCGACTCAGCATCATATAACGGTGAGAGGCTGGCCGAATGTCGAGCCGTGAGGCCAGAGAGAGTTTTCAGGTATATGGACCTCATTCAGGAGGAGTCTGACGGGGGTTTGCCTAGATCCTTTGTATCAAAACATAAGTGAGGTCCAGAGGAAGGCCACCTGCGGTGCCTGCACCAACCTGTCGCCTCACCGCGAACCAAAGGGTGCTTTCCTGCTCCGGACCTGCCTCCGCACACACACAGCTCGTAGTCACACAAGTTTGGCTTACGAATTGCCGTTGAAAGGTAGCTCTGTAGAGAACCCTGAATAATATATTACCTTGTCGATGGCATGGAAACTCCTCCCAATTGGTGTGAGGCCCACGTCTTTCATTTTCTTTCCTCAGGTTAAATACTGGAGACATGATGATAAGGAAGAGAATGCTAGAAAAATCCGAACAGTTGGAAATCACACCTCAACAAAAATCACCAACTTAAAAGGCAGCGTGCTGTACCATTTAGCCGTCAAAGCATACAATTCGGCAGGGACAGGGCCCTCCAGTGCAACCGTCAACGTGACCACCAGGAAGCCGCGTAAGGACAGATGCGCTTAGACGTGTTCCTAGGATTTATTAACTAGGTCCAAGGCTCACTCCCCCACCCCACCCGCGAGTGATTATCCGCGTACTAATTGGTATAATTGGCTTCAGATTTACCTTAGCATTTTAACGGAGCCTCTCTGAGTGCTGTGCAGAGTTCATTGCTCTGGAAAACACAAAGAGAAATGTTTTTCTCCTCGCTGGGAAGGGCTACTTCTCTCAGCTATAAATGTTAGGCGACCAACTGAATCCTTTTCCATTTGCAGCGCTGTATCTCGTCAGATTTTAGTGACCTTGAAGACACATATTAGTGCAATCGCCCATTAAATTGCCTCCACTCTCGAATTCTAGGAAGGAGATATTCCTCAGAAACCATTTAGACTTAATAATCTGTGACTTCGTATATCTTAATTTTTCTTTTTTCTTTTTTTTTATATAGCACCAAGTCAACCCCCCGGAAACATCATATGGAATTCATCCGACTCCAAAATTATCCTGAATTGGGATCAAGTGAAAGCCTTGGACAATGAGTCAGAAGTAAAAGGATACAAAGTGGGTAACTCCTTCTTTTGTACAGGTGCTGCCCTCTGGCAGTGGGCATTTTCATAAATCACACCAAGCTCATGGTCTCTTTCCTGTCCCATTACGAGGCTTTGCCACCAGGTGATTTAGTCTGAGTTTTATAAATAGTCTGGGACAACTGGCCAAGAATTTAGTGAATCACCTCAATGTTATGCTCAGGAAAAATTCATCAGGAATAATTAGGAACCCTGTGGTTAGATAACCCCAAGCATCATAAAGAAGGACTTTTTTTCCACATTTCTATTACAGCTCTCTCTTACTTGCATCTTGGTGTTATTTTTTTTAAATTAACAGCAGTAACTACTTAATATTACTAATGATTCATTACTTTTGTTCATGTGTTCAAAAGTAGGAGAGATTTCTAAATAGAAAAAGAAGTAAGACATTTTCAATAAATATATTTGCTTGATCTCATAAATGTCGATCTGGTCTTTAAAGAGCTAGGAAAAATATATGTATGTAGGTAGCCATAGTGGCATAATTAAAAAGAATTCTAAAATGTTTCTGTTATTTGTGCCTGGGAAACTATGAGCAAGTAAACCCTACTTACTCTTTTTCGTGACCTTGTGGTCAGGGGTGTGCCAACATGGGCAGTTCTGTCACTGAGGCGTCCAAGAAGGCTCTTCACAGCAGTGGGGGTCACGAGAGGTGGAAGCTGGCCAGGCATCACTCTTCACAAGGTGTCTCCACGTGGGAAGCTTGGTCATCTCCCAGCATGGCGATGTTAGGGTAGTTCGATTTCTTCCAGGACCGCGGGCTTCCAGGAGGAAGGCAGCAAAACTTACTAGTTCTTTTGAAGACTGTGAATAGAACTGTTGTGAGGCCAGGCCAGATTCAAAGGGAGGGAAATGGATTCAATCTCTTAACATGAGGAATGACATCCATGTACAGGTAGAGAACACTGGCAGCTTAGTGGTAAGGACTTGTACTGCCAATCTTAAGGAATGCGGTTCAAATCTACCAGCTGCTCCATGGAAAAGCGGGCTGTCTCCTCCCATGTAATTTACAGCGTTTGAAAATCCACTGGAGGGTCGGCTATCACTTGGTTCCAACTCAACAGTCTGTAACACAGCACAGGGAGAGGAGGACTTGGTGGCGGTCCGCTCTGTGAATTTAGCAAACAATTGAGATTGTGATTGGAAAGCTAATTCAAAACGTCTAGAGGAACACAGCAAAGAACTGATAGTATTTCTCTGGGGGCGGGGGGAGGGAAGCAGTCTCTCAAAAACATGAAAAGCATTTAACGTATCTGAAGGAAGAGTTACAGGAATTGTTCCTTAAGACTTTGCAGAATAAAACCAAGGAACAAAAGCCTCGTGGAGATAAATTCTGCTCAGTTTTACTTCTTGCTAGTAAAGCTCCCAAAATGGACTTAGTTGCAACCAGAGTTAGGAAATTCTCTAACCCTGGAAGTCATCAAGGCTTTAGCTAAGCTGCCACTGAGTACGATGTTGTGTTCTTGTTGCTGTTAAGTGCCGTCGAGTTGCAGGCGACTCATAGCGACCCTATGAAGGAGAGTCCTCAACGCTTGGGTGTCTTTCATCCTCTCTCCAGGCTCATAGGATTTCCGGAGGCAAGCTATTACGGAAGTGGATGCCACTCCTGCTTCCAAGCTTGTTTTAATTGGGGAGCTCCACCCCACTCTCTGTCCACATTGGGTAACCAACCAGTTCAACTATGTGGCACTTTTAACTCCTTAAAGAGTATATTACATTAAAAGTAAATGACCAGAAGAAAACTTCTAACAAATATTGAGTTACAAGTTAGGTTAACAATTAATTCTGTTGACACCAGTCAACATTACTGCGGGGTGTGTGTGTGTGTGTGTGTGTGTGTGTGTGTGTGTGTGCGCGCGCGCGCGCACGCGTGCGTGCATATATAAAATGCATACATACATTGTATTCTGTTTATCTGCTCATCTGTTGACGGAAACCTGGGTTGCTTCCCCCTTCTGACTGTTTTAAATAGAGTTGGATGAGCATGGGTATTGTAAAGATCTAAAATATCTGTCTTATTTCTTTTCTTTTATACTAGTTTACATACAAAGTTCACTTGGTCCCTGCTTCCCAGTCTCTCGGAGGAGAGTTGCTGAGTCATAAAGCTGTTCTATATTTAACTTTTTGAGGAGCTGCCAAGCTGTTTTCCTCAAGACTCGACTCTTTTATTTGCCACCAGCAGTACACAAAGATTGTAATTTCTTGTTTTGTCTTACACGGCATTTTAATCGATGCAATGCAGGCCAAACAAATTTGGTCTCCAGAACTGCATTAAGTATGCAGGCTGCCGGTTGGTGGCATTTCTTGTATGAGGATGCTGAGAGTCTGTCATAAGCAGGGTTACTAGAGACTGTTTAAAGAGCACAGATCGATGGAAGGAAGAGGTTCAAGCAGAGGGAGTTTGACAGAGTGGGTGGTAAGGTGATCAGGGAAGGTCCTGGAGGACCCCGCAGGCCAGTGGCTGCTCGCCTTCACCAGGCGGTACCGTAACATGGACCTTGACACTGGTCGAGAAACCAGTGGAGAACATTCCCTGAGCTTGCAGATGTTTCACTGGGCTCTCCTTTCAAAGACAGACTCTTCTAGAAGGATGTATAATACAGAGCACAAAGAGCTAAGACTGTTCTGATTCCGTGTCAGCTGTGACTAAGCTCCCTGGGACTCCGTCTTCTCTTAGTGAGAAGTTTCTAGGCCCCTTCATGCCTTCCACTCCTCCTTTCTACATACACCTTCCACCTCCTCCGTCTCTCAGATCTGAGCTTGACAGACTTCCCTGACGGCCACAGCTCCCTCTGCTTACCGGAATTTTACAGGGTTCTCATCCTCTTGGGTAACTGTAAGTGGCTGCTGACTTGTGAGTCCTCAGGCTGTGAGTTTCAATAGGACAGAGCCTGAGTGTCTCCAGCCGAGGGTGTAGTCCCCGTGGCTGTGTCAGAATGTTCTCATATTCCTCTGGGCCTAAGTATGAAATCTTTCACCTGGACCACTTTATCTGCAGCAAGGAGACTTGGAGTAGGGCAGGCTTGAAGATAAATGAAGGGGAAAATAAACGGAAAAGGAAAGAAGGTCAGGGTGAAGACAGACATTTTCAACTTTGTAGTTCAGACTCAGGGAATTCTGGTGGGGCAGTCCATAAGGACCTGCACTTCTAACCCAAAGGACGAACCTCTCCAGGTTCGAATCCACCAGCAGGAGAAAGGTGAATCTCCTCGTGTGATCTGCAGCCTCAGAAGCTCACCAACGGGCCAGTGAGAACTCAGTTGCCTCTTGATGGTGATGAGTCTTTGAGTTCTGACTCAGGTAACAGGTGGGACCTCTCTGACCACAGGGAGGGCTGGAGAGGGGAGGGAAGGGGCAGAATTGAATTGATGGAACTAAACCAAGTAAGTGTGGTCAAAAGGGAGGAAGGCAGGTCCTCCCTGCTTGCTTCTGGGTGTGTCCATTAGAATAAATAGAGAAAAACACTAAAAATGCAAAAGCTTTAGCAGTCTCTTGGAAGCAATGTGAGCTGCTGGGATGAAACTTTTACTCGATTTTAAGCTCATTTTCAGGCTGCTGCTGAAATAAAATTGAAGGGCAGAGAGCTACCTGCAGTATTTCAAGGAATTGACAAAATATTAACTTAGCAAAAGACCCTAGTGATCATCGAATGAAACCCCTCATTTCACAGATGTGAAAAGTGAAGTCCATCAAGTAGAGAGAACCGGAGGGCCCTCAGCTGGCACAGGGTGGAGATCCCTGGAGGAGCCCAGGTTTGCTTCCCTGAACAGGCTCTGGGAGATTGTAGGCATTCTGCAAGAGAAATTCAGAAACAATTCCTTTTCACTTGCCACTTCTCTGTAATGCTGCTCCCTCCCAAAAGCTCGCCAGTGAGCTTGTGCCTGTTTGTGTGAACACACACATGGCTGTGGAGGGCGAGGGACTGACTTGTAACTGACCTGCCGCCTGTTTCTGAGGCTGGAATCATGTGGGAGGAGACTCCCTTCTCTCTCCCGCAGAGTCACTGGTCAGTTAGAGCCTCCAGGAAGGGGTGGTCTCTGTGTTAACAGCATGACTTCTTTTTTATTATTATTATTAATTTTAAGGAACATTTACAGAGATTTTGGATTTCCATTCATTTGTTGTTGCACTTTTCTCCCTGGACAGTCCTCCCCGCCCCCCAATTCACTTCTCTCTTTGAAAAGTAAAAGAAAAATTCTTTCATTGGTATACAGTCCCCCCGCACAGCCCCCCCACCCTGAGTACACTCCACTATGCAACCTTAATTCTGGACTCTTGTGATAACCATAATATCCTATCATAGACCACTTTTAAATTGTTCTCTCCCTCATCTGTTTCAATGCAGTATACATAATTTATCCAGTTTTTCTCAGTCTTACCCCAACCCTGATGTCAGACTCCTCCCCCAGAGCTCCCTGCATTGGTGTATGTGTGTAGGCAAACCCAGCTCACTGCCATCAAGTCAGAATAACTCGTACGGCCCTCTGCAAATCACACAAGAGATTTCCCGTCTTTCTCCTATGGAGCAGCTCATGGCTTCGAACCACATACCTTTGGGATGGTAGCACAATTCCTGATCACTAAGCCACCAGATGATCAGATTTGGCCTCGCCTTTAAAAAAGGTCTTTGGCTGCCAGTCTGGGGCTATTTCCAGGCTGGGAAGGTGAGTGAGATGGCCTTGAATTGCTCCAGATATGTATAATTATTTATAAATATCAGCGTTCACTTATACCTAAGTACAAAAAATTACATATATAGAGAACTGCATCAGTTCCACCCATAGGAAGAAAGAAACCAGAATCCTTGGAAGAAGAAACATGTGAGGGCCCCAGGCCCATGAATTGAGGTTTAATTTTATGTACTTTTATGATGTGGTTTTATTTGGTGTTTAGTGTTTACAGAAATTGAAAGAATGGGATTTTTCCAAGCATGTGGAGATTTTATCAGGCTGGGTTTATTTTTTGTATTTTTGG